TATTATTGTTATATCCACACTAACTAACTAACTGTATTATTGTTATAGTCACTAACTAGCTGTATTATTATTGTTATAGTCACTAACTAACTGTATTATTATTGTTATAGTCACTAACTAACTAGTTGTATTATTATTGTTATATTCACTAACTAACTGCAGCATCTGATTTAAATAGGAAGTCAGTCAAATTAATGACAAGCTGGTTGAATTATTAGCTATTAGATATAATAATTTAGATTGAGATGCTGTGTATTTCATTCATTAGATGCAACTGCCAGGTTTTACATCATGTATTATGGTAATAAAGTATCATAATCATTATATATATTTATATATATACTATACATGATGATCCCTGAGTAAAGAAAGCATCATTCTCAGCAACATCAGTGTGTTGTCATTAACACTGTAATGAAAAGATGCACTGAGACACTAAATGGAGACACTATTCAGGGCAACAACAAAAGAGCCAGTTAGTGTAATTATTACACACACGAACGATATGTTTCTTGAAAGTACAATGCAGTTTAAAAGTCAAAAAATGTCAAAGGTTTTTGAGTAAATCTCGGTTCTTTTTTACCTTGTTGTTTCACTTTTTAATGTGAATTTCTGTTCCTTTCTTTTGGGCGTAACTTCCCTTTAACTGACAAAGCATTGCACACATTTTATAGCAGGAAGTCTTGTTGTGTAAATGGGAGAAACTGTTTCACAAAGAGGTGCTGGGTCAACACTGGAAATCAACTACAGGAAATATAGTTAACGTGCTGCAGAAAACATTTGAGGTCAGGGTTAGGGCTCCATAAAAGAGATATTGTTGGCCACATACCTGCTGACCAAGAAGATTCAAGTTTAAAGAGGAGATATTAGTGCGTGTTATCTTATCAAAAACTATTGTTTTCTTTTCTGATGCATCGCTGCCATTTGTTCAGCAGAAGACAGGAATTCCTTTTATTTCCCTGTGCTTGCACTTCTAGTGTTTCCTGTTGCTCTTGTGATGCTCCAAGTTTCCACTCAGGAAAAGATTTCACAATCGTCTTTGTCACCCTCTCTATCTCTTGCAGGAGAATCGACAATTTGGATCCAAGATGACGGACTCCAAGTACTTCACCACTACTAAGAAAGGTCAGATATCTAATTATTTATTCATTTATAATATCAACTATTTAAATTGTAAACCACTGAGTGACAAGTCTCAATTGTCTTCGGTCTCGAATCAATGCTAGCATCCATGCATTGTTTTTAGGTAAAGCGAGACCTGGACTTTTTTGTTGCTTAGTATATTTACCCATAACCTCACTGACCTAGTTTGACCTTGAAAATTAAACCAAAGACATTATTATCACCCTGCTTTGTACTGACGTTGTTACCAAGAACAGCTCGGTTATTGTAAATCAGATTAGACATATTGAGCATTAGCTGTCAGAGGTTTAACCGTCCTGCTGTGCCTCCTGTTGTGCCTGTGTGGCTCCTCTCACACAACCCAGAGCTGTGCTTGTTTCCACACACAGGGCTTAGAAAATGCAAACAGACACTTATAAGTGTTAGTGTATAGACTCCTCGTGTTTGTTAGGATTGCTTGAGACAAAGGTTTCTGGTGCTATCTGCTTTTTCTGTGCATCTGCCCGATGTTGCTGTCTGCAGTCTGTTGTTAACATCTTGGAGGAGATTGGAGGCGATTAGCGCTTTACAATTCCTGGGAAACTCTAAGTAGGTAGACTAAAATTTAAGCTCAAAATTGGCACTGTACTGTCAGTGTTTGTTGTTATAGTCTTATTCATGCAGGTAGGCACATCAGTGACACTGCATGAAAATGTAAATTGAATATAGTTGAGTCTCTTTCAGTTCTGTACAAAGCAACTAAAACATTCTTTGTCATCCTCGATCACATGATAACATTAGGCTTTTACTCAATACATTACCTACACTACAAAATGGAGCTGTAAGTGTGCTGCTGTTAAGCTACTAATAATGCCAAACGGAAACATCCTGCTGCAACTTTATGATAAAAGCTTTCTATCGCTGGACCACTCGAAGGCTTAAAGGGTGCAGCAGCTATCGTGCACTCTGATCAAGTGCTTGTGGCCTGTACAGTTAAACCCCTGATAAAGAAAACCACCTTCCACTATCAGAAACTGCTGAGGATGTCAGTGTCCCCATTCTGTATTTATAAGCAGTTTTGGATAGATAAGGAAATACTCTACATTGAATGTCAGTATCCTCTTTCAGTTTTGCATGTCTTGTGAAAAGAGGGCAATGCTGCTCATTCCCCCTACATCACAAATGGATTAGATTATGTATGATTTCCTTTTTTTCTGTGTGTGTACAGGGGAGATCTTTGAGCTCAAGGCAGAGCTAAACAGTGATAAGAAAGAGAAGAAGAAGGAGGCTGTGAAGAAGGTCATTGCTTCTATGACAGTGGGCAAGGATGTGAGGTGAGCCAGAGAAAACTCAGACACATCCACACTGGAATAATGCACTGTAACACATCACCTTCCATTTTGAGTCAGTAGTAACGTAACACCTTGTCCCTCCGTCCAGTGCCCTGTTTCCAGATGTTGTGAACTGCATGCAGACGGACAACTTGGAACTGAAAAAGCTGGTCTACCTCTACCTGATGAACTATGCCAAGAGTCAGCCAGACATGGCTATCATGGCTGTTAACACCTTTGTAAAGGTAAAGATTAATGTGTCATAAATATGTAAAAAGCTATATTAAATCATCTATTCATAATTTATCATTCAGGTACAGTAATTATTTACATGTAATGTGCCAAAAAGTTATTTTAAAAATAAATAAATAAAAGGAAATCTCTTTTGCATTGCACTGTATGATTGGGAGGATAAATAATGCTGATTTCAACCCACTTATGCATTCTGTTTTGGTCAGTGCTCATTTGTACAGCTGTATGAAGGCACTTCCCATTGTTTTCCTTTTGAGTCTCTCTGACTTCAATCAGATAATTAAGCAAACCTAATCAGTATCCTTTAAAGATAGATTTTTTTTCATCAAGCAATAGCAGTGATTGCTCAATATATGATGATTTAATTCTTTACAGAGTGCTAATGCACATAACAAATGTCGGACACATTTAAAATGTCTCAGATAACGTAGTATAATATATAAATACATCAAAAGTTGTGACAACACTTATGACCTCTCTGAACCAACCCCCCTAGGACTGTGAAGACCCTAACCCTCTAATCCGGGCCCTTGCTGTCCGTACAATGGGCTGCATCCGTGTGGACAAGATCACAGAGTACCTCTGTGAGCCCCTGAGGAAATGCCTAAAGGACGAAGACCCATATGTGAGGAAGACAGCTGCTGTGTGTGTAGCAAAGCTCCATGATATCAACGCCCAGTTGGTGGAGGACCAGGGCTTCCTTGACACCCTTAAAGACCTCATATCGGACTCCAACCCTATGGTACGACTCCTTTAGGCAGCCTAGTAGCTGGTTTTTGACCCAGCCAGATGTCTTACACAGGATGGCACAAGCTGCAAGCCCCTGCTCTGCCTTTCCCTGATAAGCCCTGTGCTGGCATACAAATGTTGATTTGAATGAACATATTGCCAGAATTGGGTTCATTCAATGACCTCTCTTTTATATCTTAATATACCCGGTGGCTACTGTTTTTCTGTTGACATTTATCTGTGTACTGTGCGTCTCTCTTTAGGTTGTAGCAAATGCAGTGGCAGCGCTGTCTGAGATAGCAGAGTCTCACCCCAACAGTAACCTACTGGACCTGAACCCTCAGACCATCAATAAGTTGCTGACAGCTTTAAATGAGTGCACAGAGTGGGGGCAGATATTCATTCTCGATTGCCTGGCCAATTACACACCTCGCGATGACCGTGAGTCCCAAAGGTAAGAGAAAGCACTTCATTAACATTGCATGTCATTTAGCAAATATTTCCAATAAACCCTGCGTAATTTCCTGCTCTTTCTTTCCCAACATCACAAACATCTGCTAGCATCTGCGAGCGCGTGACTCCGCGGCTCTCACATGCCAACTCTGCAGTGGTGTTGTCAGCAGTTAAAGTTTTGATGAAGTTCATGGAGATGCTGCCCAAAGACCTGGACTACTATGGCACCCTGCTGAAGAAGCTGGCCCCTCCACTGGTCACTCTCCTCTCTGCTGAGCCCGAGTTGCAATATGTGGCCCTCAGAAACATCAACCTCATCGTACAGAGACGGTAAATAAAAGTTGCATTTACTTTAGCATGGTACATTTCAGCTGGATACTTTTTTACTTTATTTTATCTTAGTCCACAAAAAACTAAGAAATATTGATGTCCCTTTTTAGCCCAGAGATCCTGAAACACGAGATGAAGGTTTTCTTTGTAAAATACAATGACCCAATATATGTCAAACTGGAGAAGCTGGATATCATGATTCGCCTAGCATCTCAAGCCAACATTGCTCAGGTAATGCACCAACAGCCATTACATCATTGATATAAAACCATCATCTAGTATCTAGATATTCTTCACAAGACGATCTGAGCGACACTAATGCTCGTCTTTCTTGCTGTAGGTGCTGGCTGAGCTGAAGGAGTACGCCACTGAGGTGGATGTGGACTTTGTCCGTAAAGCGGTCAGAGCCATTGGCCGCTGTGCCATTAAAGTAGAGGTAGGTAGAGATGATGTCATACTGTCACCAGATGCTTTGTCGGTCAGATCTTTGTGTCATCTATGCAGTTCGATGACAAAGCATTATTGTTCATCTTTACTGGTACTTAAGATCAATCAGATCACTTTTTTCCCTGATGTGCCACAGTTGAAAAGCAATGAAACTAGTTCCATATTGTGGCATGTATTTTTTTTTATACATACCATATGCACACATTTAATATTCATTTGTTTGTTTTTAACCTTTGGGGCTATCATGAAAGAGTTGTTTTTTCTCCATTCATTAGCAATCAGCAGAGCGCTGTGTCAGCACACTGCTGGACCTCATCCAAACCAAGGTCAACTATGTGGTGCAGGAGGCCATTGTGGTCATCAAGGACATTTTCCGCAAGTACCCCAACAAGTAGGTTCCTTCGTAGACATTCATGCGGTCAATTTCCTATTCTTTTTTACAGAATGTTGAGTCTGTGCTTTGAGTCTGTGTTTTGCTGTATTTATATTACATTCAATAGAACTGGACACTTACGGGAGGTGATTCTGTTGTGAGGCTGCTGTTAAGTGTCATTATGTTGTGTGATCTGTTTAATGCTTTGCATTGTTGTCTGAGCTATAAGTATTGACTCTCAAAATGTTATACACAAGCAGAAACCCCGACTGTTCCACTTCACTCACACTCAGATTATTTTTTCTCTGCCTTTAAATAGGCAGAGTGAAAGCTCATTACACAGACGTGAAGCGTCTGAAGTGTTTTCAAATTGGCATTTATTGAAAAAGGCCTACAAAAGAGCTTTTAGACAAGAAAACAACCTCAGTAGCACAGAGATTGTTTGTAGTGCAAAGCACTTATCCATATTCTGCCTTGATTGCACCTGGACAAAGGTCAGGTGGATTCATCCGGAGCGTGACTTCTGCTGTGGATCCAACAGCATGGATTCATGTGCCAGACAGAAACCTCTCCCACACATCCCTGTGGAGTCGTGAGTCTCCAAGGGAGCAGCTTTGCAAAGCCTCCAGTTCGGCATGGCTCAAGCCTTTAGCTGTATGAGTCACTACCCACTCAAACTTCTGCTTTTTCTATTAATTAGACATCAACTAAATCTTTCCGCCCGGAATATTTTGTAATAAAAGCATTATGTTAATGGGATTGGTTATTATCAAGAATTTTATGCAGATCAGAAGTACCTCAACCACTCCTGCTGAAAACATTGGCTAATTGAACATCTAGCAAGCAAAAGACCCAAGGACAAACCCAGAGCTAAAAGAACATTGAATATTGGATTTGCATTTGTCAGGCTGCCAGAACACACAACTCTGATGTAATGCTAATGTTGCTCTGTGTCTCCTGAGTTTTTAAAGTAGGCAGTAGTTTGCTACCATGTTTATGTTTAATGAGCTGGTCACACGTGGATGCTGTTAATCTGTCAGCTTGTTTTACTGTTTTTGTTTTTTCTGTTCCTGTTGGTCAGAAATAGATTAATTGTCATGGACTAATTGAGAGTAATTTGTTTTTGTCTCTTTTAATATATTTGCAATATTTGTAATATTGTTTTGTGTGACTGTCCAGGTACGAGAGTGTGATTGCCACTCTGTGTGAGAACCTGGACTCCCTGGATGAGCCGGAGGCACGTGCTGCCATGATCTGGATTGTGGGAGAGTATGCTGAGCGCATTGACAATGCTGATGAGCTTCTGGAGAGCTTTTTGGAGGGTTTCCACGATGAAAGCACTCAGGTGTGTTTACGAGAGTACTGGGAGGTTGTTATTTTAAAATTATGAAGTCCATTTTTAATGGTAGTGGCCCTAATGCCAGCAGTAAGTAGCACACTTTGGTTTCTGTAGTTGGTAATAATTAAAGCCTTTGATTAGCTGCTGCAAAGCACTGACAATGGAGGTGGCATGCCATATTCAAAGTACTAACCTAGATCTGGTCTTATTTATGTGACAAAATCTGTAGTAAGCGAGAGAGAAATAGAATCCTAGACGAGTCAAATACTTTGTATTGTATTCCTTAATGGGAAGACATAATATAAATAATAATGATGGGAACACTTTTTATATTCAGACACATTTTGTAGACAAGCCACTCTTCAGAGTGTTCTGCCACAGTTTGTTGTGAGATTATACTCTGCTTTACTTGCTTCAATGGCTCCCCCTAAGTAATAGATCGATTCCCATATTATTGCCTTGGATAGAATTTTCTGATTAAGTGATTTGTGGGTAGAATGAAATGCATAATGCATAAAATGTTCCCTTTTGTGCTGTTGTTTGGTAACGGCAGATTAAACTAGTAGTTGGAGTAATTACTGTTAAGCAGGGTGTGTCATCCATGGGAAACCTAAGCACTGAGAAGTAAAGGAGTTGAAATGGTGTTTATTTTGTGTTGTTAAAAGATCATCTTTAAGATTCACTTTGCACTGTATTACAAGTTAGACTAAATTGTACCTTCACCAGCTGCATTCAAAAGTAGTATGTGAGCAGTTGTAACATGTTCTGTATGCTTTCACTGTGTCCTATAGGTGCAGCTGCAGCTACTGACCGCAATCGTCAAGTTGTTCCTGAAAAAGCCCACAGAGACCCAGGAGTTAGTGCAGCAGGTGTTGAGCCTAGCCACACAGGTAAGGGGGAAAAAACCACACACACACACACAGTTCAACACATACATTTTATGTTCCTGCCATCTTTTTGTATCTTTTCCAACAAGTTCTCTGCTACTTAATCATTTAGGGACACAGGAGTATTTTAATGGTAGTATCGATCTGAGCCTTGCAGTACCCTCAGTAATGACTGCAGTGGTGTGAGCTTACTAATTATGTTTTAATTGTGCTAGGTAGCAATTGATTTTTAAAAAATTAAAACATTTCTCGAAAATTCTGCGCAGTATTATAAGCAAATTATTTATTATTATTATTATTATGTACCTCAATAAAAGATCCACCTATTTGTAGTATGAAGCTAATACAGATACAAATCCTAGCTGTAGCATCTACGTAAATTGTACGTGTTAATGTTTGGAGGCGTAGCATTTTGTTTTGTGTTTTTTTTTTTATTATGAGTTGGTGCCTTTTTCTCTTGTGCTCCAATCAGCTATGTACACAAGGATGACAGAATACGGCAACACCTTGATATGATGCAGTCTAATGCAACAACACCAACTGATATGGTTTCAATAACGACAAAAGAGTTGTGTCAACGTCTCTCTGACACAGTGTCACTAAATACAGAACATTATAAGCTTCACAAAGAATGAATGTATTACAGAGCTTGTGTATTCTCTGTGCCATTGTGATTCTATAGATTTATCTACAGCAATAAACTGGTAACTGTTTGTGGATGAAACAGATGTATACAAACATTTTGTGCCTGCTCTTGGAAAGCAGAAAAATACGGTTCATAAGTTAAAAGAACCTTCAAAATACAGTATTTTACTGCAGCGTTAAATAACATGTACGGTCAGGTTGCCTCATACATTTGACAAATCCTAGCACTACCAAGGTTGACTTAGTTTTTGATATCTTTGAATCACTGCACAGTCTCTCATATTGGGGCCAAGACAGAAAAGAGTCTAACATTAAGTATTTATTAAACAAGCTCCGTGAATAATAATCCATCCCCCTCATGCCTCCATCTCTTCTGCAGGACTCTGATAACCCAGACCTCAGGGACCGTGGCTACATCTACTGGCGTCTGCTCTCCACAGACCCCGTGGCCGCTAAGGAGGTGGTTCTGGCTGAGAAGCCCCTGATCTCTGAGGAGACAGATCTGATTGAGCCCACACTGCTGGAGGAGCTTATCTGCCACATTGGTACTCTGGCCTCTGTCTACCACAAGCCCCCCAGTGCCTTTGTAGAGGGCAGTCGTGGCGTTCAGCATAAGAGACTCCCTGGCAGTGCTGGATCGTGAGTCATGCACATTCTTTTTTTAAAACACTGCAGGAAAAGGGGTTTCTTTACATAAGCGGACCCAGCTTGTAGACTCAGATTTCCCACCAAATCTGCTGAGTAACACACTTTCCAGCAATGTCAAGCTGTGCAGTTAATCCCTGTTCCTTCCTGCCTTTGAATACAACTCATCACATCTACATGGTATTTTCCTCAGTGGACTGGATAGACTTATATCAGCAGTTTAATGACAAATTAGGCCTACAGTATATTTGAAAATCACCAGGAATGTAAAGTTTACAAAATGGTAATTGAATAAATGACATAAAATGCATAACCTATATTATTGAATTGTTTTTGATTTCTACTAGTGGGGAGAGTGTTGACAGCCCAGACACAGTTTCTGCTGCTGGAGTTTCTGAGGCGCCCCCTGCTGTCATTCCATCCCAGGGAGACCTCCTGGGAGATCTGCTTAACCTGGACCTGACACCTCCTACCACCTCCGGACCACCTCCAGTCCCCTCCTCTGGGATGCAGATGGGTGCTATGGACCTTCTTGGAGGAGGACTGGACAGCCTGGTAGGTCCTCTACACTGTTTGAGAGAAGCTGTCAGGTGTTGAAAGGCTGGTATAACATATCTTAGTTGATTTCAATAATAGACTTGATGTCAATGGGACCTAATGACGGTAATGTATATTTGTATTTTCTTTTTTTTTCTTTTGACCCCTTTGTGTTTTCCTTTCTTTGTTTAACGCTGCACCTGCAGATGGGGGATGAGTCTGAGCCGGTAACTACATGGAGGGAGAGGGAACAGCATTTATAAGCCATGGCGGGCCATGTTAGAGGATTTATTTAATCACTGCTACTGTAGTTTTCATGAATCAGTCTGACATTTTCATTCATCATTTATCATCTTTTATTATCGTGATCTACAGTAAGCATGCTGTTAAATCCTTGAGTCCATCTCTTTTCTTATCTCTGGGCTCTGCAATGTGTTTGATGTTTCAATCAGCCGCCCATTCCCCTGCGGACGGACACTCCTCAGTCACCTCAGCTCTCTCATCAGTCCCCATCGCCCCCAGATTACAGCCCCACTGAGGTTGGTCCAGGGGACCACGCTGGACCAGTAAAGGCCAGCACCAGCCTAGAACCCCCTCTTGTCCCCTGTTGTACCACTGTGTCCTCTGAATAGTCATCCCCAGTTGTCATCTGTGCCTGTTTGCACTTTGTATTACATTGTTTATGTTCCACTCCATTTAGCTGAGATTTTTAGTTTTTAGCTTTTTTTATATGAAAGTTTTGTCTTCCATACACAGTAGTTTAGCTTTGTCACTGTATGGAACCACTGTATTTTTTGCACCACCACTTTTGTTCACTGCCTCCCCAACCTTTTCATCACCACAGTAGACACATTTAGTGAGTAGCATTTGAAGAAAACCTATTGGATTTCAATAGCTACTCAGTCGGATTTGTGTGGACAGTAAAAGGTCAGTTACATAAGAGGAGAAATTCTCCTTTACTGGTGTGTCCTTCTTGCTTTTGCTTGTTACTAGTGTAAAACCCATAGCTGTCATTAATCACGGAAAGACATTTCTTAGACCCTCACACCCCTCCATCCATCCTCTACAAACCCTCCAGAATATTTAATGTTGCACCAGTATATAACCAGATTTTTTTTGTGCTTCTCCACCCTCCCTTCCCCCCCCAACTCAGCTTGGCGGAGACCTTGGAGGAAGTCCTGCTGTAAGTCATTTTGTCTGAACTCTGTTGGGCTTTGATTACTCAGTACAAGATGACATTGAATGTGTCAGGGTAACATGTTGCTTTGTGACCTACAGATGGGGGCTGGTTTTGGTGCTCCTCCAGCTGTGATGCCAGCCTCTTTCAGTGCCCCTATGAGTGGCGGTCTGGATGATCTGTTTGATCTCGGAGGTGGAGTCGGTATGCCTATGGGAGCCTACAGCCCCCCTAAAACAGTGAGTGTTGTTGAGATGGGATGAGGCATAATAAATGATGTAACAGCAGTGATGGGATTGCTAGTAAAATAACGATCTTGTCTATGTTCAGGTTTGGCTTCCAGCCATGAAGGCCAAGGGTCTAGAGATATCCGGCACTTTTGCCCGCCGTGCTGGTGTCATCCAAATGGAGATGACCCTCACTAATAAAGCAATGAGTGTCATGACTGATTTTGCAATCCAGTTTAACAGAAACAGGTGAGATCACTTGCCAAGCAATGTGCTGAGATTTCTGTATATTTACACATTCTGTGACACTCCCCTCACCTTCTGTGTTCCCCTGTAGCTTTGGTCTTGCTCCGGCTGGTCCACTCCAGGTTCTCACTCCTCTTAGTCCAAACCAGACTATTGAAGTGGCCCTTCCCCTCAGTACTGTGGGACCTGTCATGAAGATGGACCCTCTCAGTAACCTGCAGGTAACACCTTCACTATATTTATTTTGGTTGAATAGTGGGGATATTTCCTTGCTTCTACTTCCCTTTTCCATGAATCCTACTCTGGAATGAGTGATCCATCTTGTGACAGTGATAGGACTTGTCAACAAGATGATTGTCAGATGTCAAGTACAGACTAGAAGTAAAGTGTTACGTTTGCCAACTTTTTTCAACACTGGCCTTATGACGACACTGATGTCTCAAGTTTGCTGTCCTTACATGGCTTCCTACTAGCCCCCCAGGCCTCAATTGTGACAACACTCTTTCAGAGATGCATTGTAATGTCAACAGAGTTGGCAGACATGGCTGCTTGTTAAATTTTTGGCAATTAAATAAAAACATTCCCTTGCTTAATCTGTCGAATTCCAAATTAAAGTTGGCAGTATTTCAACTTCTCATTTATCCCAGCTTTACTGAACCAAAACATCAAAATGCTTCTTGGTTGAAATATTGAAGGGCCCGACTCTTATCTCTTGAGACATTAAGTTTTGTCCATGTGTCTTAAATGATTAGTAATGCATCCTCTGTTATTCAGCTATACTGTTGAATTCCCATGTTGCGTATGAAACGGAATTAACACATGAAACAGCCTTCAGGACGGCTGTGATAAGTTGTAAATAAAAAGAACGGCAGAGGCTGGCTTGTTTTTGATCAGGGTGGTTCTTTTAACTGGGCAGAATTGCGGATGGTTGCTGTGTGCAGCTGGACAGAGAAGATAAGAGCGTCAAGGTGGATGATAGAGGTGGGGGCGGTCATTAGTGGTCACACAACACATGGCTCCTTTGTTTCTCCTAGCCCTCAGTAGCCCTGCTAACCTTTCTACTCTGCTGCTTCTAGGCCCTGCTTTGATGCATATTATTGTTCTGACATTTTCTCAGATATTTTATTTCGAGAGGTTCTGTGTGGTTTTTGTATTGATGGAAGATAATGTCCTGAATATTTTTTATTTTTTTTGAGTGCTCTTTTAACTACTCGTGTGGTAGCGGTAGAGTTTTTTGAAGGTAGTCTACAGTCAGTAAAACCCTTTTATGACGAATTGACCCACTCTAGGGAAATGCTTAAATAACTTTGGGTGCAAGTTTCGTGGCTATTTTCATCTGTAGCTCCTTCTGCAATGACACGGCAGTTTAATTTAATGAAAGTGGTGACTTTGGTTTGCTGGTCACAGAAATTGACATATACAGTATGCTTATTCAGTAGGAAAGAATTTAGAAAAAAATAGTCTCATACAGTGGTTCCCAAACTGGAGAAGGCTGAATAAAAACTTTGGCACTACAGCAAAGAAACTAGAAATTTGTGAAAGGTCTGTCAAGTAATTGTACAGTGTTTTCGATCAATGAATAAATCGCTGTTGCCTGCTGAGCCGAATCAAACAGATCATGTTGTCTAATGATGAGTTTAGTTACTAAATGTCATTGTTAATAGCCGTCTTGTTAAATGTATGGCTTTTGCTGTGTGATACAGAGGTGCTCTTTGTCCTGTGATGCTTAATGTTGAATACAAATATAATTAATTTCTTACTATGTAAGTGTGACGGTCTTAAGTTAAGGCAGGCACAACTAAGGATTATTTTCATTATCGTTTCATTGTTATTTTGTTGATTGCAGCCCAAGTTTACCGATTCAAAGATCTTTTATTTACTCTCATAGAAGCCTAAGAAAACCTTAAATATTAAAGATTGCTGGAACCAAATCATTTTACCATTTTACAAGACAAAAACAAATCAATTAATTTTCAGTCAGTAGATTAATAGTTTCAGCTTTGGTTCAAAGTTCATTGTGAATGTGAACTACTAGCCTAACTGAGATAAATAATGCAAACCAAAATGTGGACAGTACTTCAAAAAGGGTCTGCTGTTCCAGCTATCAGGAAAGTTTGGGTATGTTTATGTGCAAAATAGATACCTGATAGAGTTTAGGAACCACTAGTCTCGTAGATTAACTAGGTGTAGCACATCAGAGCTGTAACATGTCAAAAATGGTATCACACTACGGTCTTTACAGTTGGATTTGGTCTCTGACCCCCTCTCAAAGGTTATTGTAGAGCTCTTTTAGTTTACAAAAATACTGAATGAAGCTCCGGGTAGTCTGACTCGCCGTGTTACCGGCAGTCCTGCATTGCACCCAGGAATAAGACGCCCTAATGAATTATTCACGGGTCTTTCTTCTGCTATCCTCTGGCCCAGCTTACTGTCCTACTCCCAGCACTTCATGTTGAGCAGCCTGATCAATAGCACTGCCAGCCGCCTGTTACTTCAGGTGCCTTCATTATGCCACAGCTGTTCTCGTGTTTCAGTATCTTGTACTTTTAGACCCATTCATTGTAAAAGGTCCTGCCTGAGGAGCTTAGGCTAACGATTCTTTTTTTAAATACAGAGCTGCTGTTAGGTGCTATTTCTGTTTTCGCTCGCTTGTCATTCTTGTTTGTGTGTTATCTTTATTTTTTGTAGTTTAATTTTAACCGCTGTCTGCTATTCTTATCTCCTTATATTTTAATCTTTATTTATATACTCTTGCAAGCCACTTTCTGCAGGCTGTTTGTAGAAATAGTTATTTTTATATTTATATTTAGCTTGTAACTAACAGTTGCTGATATTCCTTGGCAAATAGGAGCCTTGTGTTTAGTGTGAGATACATGTGAGTGAGTCTGAGATTCCTAAAGGATTGCAGCCCTCTTGTTCAGTAAACAGCACACATAAACCACCAATGCCATCCTTGAAGGGCACTTGAAAAGTAATTACCCATATATTGCTGCTTGTTTCTCCTCCTCTCGTCCTCCTCTACCCCCTTCCTTGGATGTAATCTCCTTCGCAGGTGGCTGTTAAGAACAACATTGACGTATTCTACTTCAGCTGCCAGTACCCCATCAGCATGCTGTTTGTAGAGGACGGGAAGATGGGTGAGTGTCTCTTGGCTAAATCGCTTCACTCAAAAGCCTCAAAACCTCACTGACGTCAACAACATACACTGACGTCAGTCCTTCAGCAAGGACACATTATGAGCATGTGAAGATGTGACGTAGATGTGTGTGATGCTCCACCTGCCTGCACTCGCTCTGCTCTCGGGGCTGCACAGTTGCTCCTAGATTCTACACCAGTGCCGTTTTTGGGCCGTTTTCCTTTTTTCTGTGTTGCTGTTTATTTATTTTGTGAAAACATCTTGGCCTTTCTCCCTGTGGAGCCTTGTGATGGGGGAAGCAGCAGGACTGCTGCTAGTGGTTGCAAGCTAATGCTTCAGAACCTCAGCACGAAATCTTGTGTGGAGTCAAAGTACTCACACACTATTTTGACATTTTATACTGCAGTGTCTACTTACTATTTCTTTTTTATTATTATTTATTATTATTCTCATCCTGTGTCCTTGGACTCATCCAGTGATTGTGTCTCTTCATCCACAGAGCGACAGGTGTTCCTCGCCACATGGAAAGACATTCCAAATGACAATGAGGCGCAGTTTCAGATCAAGGACTGCCATCTCAACTCAGGTAATAGGGGATGAGAAGAGAATACCTAATAAACACCACTCTGTGCAGCCATATCCTGCAACTTCTCTATATGTGAATATGCCCGACAGAGCAGTGGCCATCTCAAATACAGAAGCTCGCTAATGAAGCAAATTGTATTTGATAAGAACTCATCAGCTGCAGTCCCTATTTACGTGTGATAATTTAGTTTCACACAAGTGTGAGAGCAGCTGAACTGGAGAAGAATTCCTAATGACAGCTTAATGGAGATTTCCCCCCACAGATTAAATTTCTTCTTCATGAACGAAGAGAAAGGGTTTCACATCCTACTGGGGCACAGCAGCAAGACAGGCTGAGGAGAAAAGATAATTCTGAATTAGTGACTGCATCTTTGCAGCACAGACTTGGAGTGAAATATTTGGGGATGATAAGGGAAATAGAAATCCTGCATGGTCTGGTACATTTAATGACTGAATACTATAAATGAGCAGTGGCTTATTCAGATGGTTAAAACAGGTTAAAAACAATGTTGACTTTATTGTGTTAATTTCACCATCCACAGATGCAGCCTCTAACAAACTGCAGGGTAGCAACGTCTTCACCATAGCCAAGCGTACAGTGGAGGGTCAGGACATGCTGTATCAGTCAATGAAACTCACCAATGGCATCTGGGTGCTGGCTGAGCTGAGGGTGCAGGCAGGAAACCCAAACTACACGGTGAGTACAGTACTAGTTGTATTAGCGGAATTCATGAGTTTAAGCCATATCACTATTTATTACCAAAAGAAATAGACGATGGAAGACTCTTTCCAGTATTTTATTAAAGGTGGGGTATGCAATTCTAATCCATTCACGTCTTTATGTCAGATTCAGTGAATATCCCCTCACGGTCCGCTAGCTTTCGCTCTTTGTACACAGCCCTGGCTCTGTAAATGGAAAACAAAATATAGTGTCTCGGACCGAGCCACACAACACTATTGCAGCCATGAGTTGTGTATCAGGTAATGTGAAATGACTTGCCCACAGACATTCAGCTCACTTTCTACACTTTCTAGTTGACCAAGATATGCTGTTGTTGTGATGTTAGCTATAGTAGCAGGAGAGTGGTATCTCATCGATGTCTGGAGCTGGTGTGCTGGTACTGGGAAGCTGTTTCATCTTCTCTTCATGTTAGCTGCACAGCAGCAACTTAACAATACAATAAACCCACAGCACAGCAGTTTGATTACTTGCTGTGTCTTTCTTTGCACTATATCAAGGTGTTGGATTTCTCCAGAATCAATCACATACCCTATGTTTTTCTTTTTCCTGTCTTTATTCAAGAGCTGGTCTTTGAACATGACATATTGATTTCATGTTCAGATTTTTAATGCTTTCCATCAAAACTTTGCCCTTGCACTTAAAATGCCCCTGCTTGTGCTCATCTGTGTGCTTGCAGATTTTAAATCTGTCAAAAGCCCCCAACCAACAGGAAGTCAGCCTTGCACGTTCGCTTTACTCCTTAGAGCGTCTCGTACAGGCGGTTACTCTTTAACTGAGTTCATCTATATAATGAACTTCTTTTGCTTTTTATACCATTTTTGGAATAAGGGGAGTTATTATATATACCAGTGCCATTAGTTTTTACTATAATAACTTCATACTGTATAATGGTAGCCTTATAGCACAGAGACCTCCCATTGGTATGCTAGACAGGAAAACAACGTCACTTTTATGGTTCAGGATCGAGTCTAGCCGACCGCTGGCCAACATGGAACATGGTATTGCATTCACATTTGCAAAAAAAATGTCTGAATTAAGAAGATATCTCCAGCACGCTCTCCAAGCTCAAGGCTGGCTCTTAGCCCCCCTGAGCCCAACTCAAATCCTGTATCCAGCCTCCATCTCTTTCATTGAATGAACCCTTTTAAATTCTGGAGCTTGTTATTGGATGCAGTAATCATACCCACCATTTTAACTGAAAACACACATTTTGATATGTTTGCTATCGGGGATCTGACCCATCATATTATAATATTAAAATTACTGAACCAAACCATCCACCCAGGACCTTCCATCACTTTGATCCAAAATAGTCTCCCTCATGTACATTCTCATATACAGTGGAGCACAAAGTAGAGCCTGACTTGTTAAATTAAGTGAGTGTGATGTAGTTAACAAAATACTGTCATCACTGCACATTTGACTGTCATCGATGGAGACAAATGACATAGCGGAGACATGACAGAGATTGATGTGCACTAATGAGTGGTGAGGGTGCTGAAGGTGGGAGGCTTTGTTGATTGTGCAGTGGTTGGAGTGTGTCACTAGTATTGGTGACTCATCTGTGTGTTTGCGCGCACGTTTGTGTTGTCCACTGTGTTGTTGTATGTCTCGCTTTGTCAGTGCGCCACGGCCTCCGCTCTTAATGGATTGTGTTTGGCTTAGAAATTCTGCATGACTAGTCGAGAACGATGACCTTGATGTGACGCCCCTCCCTGCTCATCACTCAGTCTGCTCTCGGATCATGTTTTTATTTATAAGGTGGCAATAACTGTCTTTTTTTGTTTTCTCCTGTCTAGACTATTTAATTTGTCAGTCAGTCAGTCAGCCCTTGCTCGTTAAATCTTCAGAATTTTAAAATTATTTACACCTTCCTCAGATTTGTACGTCATCATGTAGCCTAACCTGATGTACGAGAATTGAAATGAATGAAACATACGACTTAAGAAGTATTTCCTGAGATTAATTGACTGACGTAAAGGCAGATTTTTACTTATTGGAGTATTAATTGTGTTTCGGCTGGAGGCGGTGTGCATTTTTCATTTTCTCACTCTTGATTTGTTGCATTTTTATTTCCCCTGTGCGTCCATTTGTGGTGTAACCTCATTATTCAGGAGGAGTTTCTGTTCCGTACACCTTCTGGCATTTTGATTTCATGTTTAATTTTTAAGTCCCAATTGTTCCTCAGTTAGGCTGGAAAGGCTCGTCTACTTTTTTTGGCAGATGGATCATAAATTGTTTAGTGAGGAGAAGACTAGACTTACAAGTTAACCGTGCTGCATGTACAGTGTGCACTCTGATGCTCGTCTCTCTGAGCTGCTCGCTGCTGCATGGTCCCTGCACTCTCTTGGCACGGCACATTAAAGCCGAGCTGCTGAAGCCTTTTGTCAGCAGCTATTTTTAGACCTTAAGAAGAACCGCCCTGCCATCGTGTATTTTAATTTTTTTTTATATTATTTTATTTGGTTTCTGAAGACATTAAAACAATTATAATTTATCGAGTGGAGACGTATGCGTCTTGCTGCTGCTCACCAATGCTGTTTTAATGTTTTTCTGATATCTCAAAACTTGATTGACTTCAGCTGTCCCATGATGCCTCACTACTTATAGCTGTGTCCCAATTACACACTCTGTGCTGATTCTAGCTGGGTTCGACGATGTAGTGCATCAACAGTGGTGTTAATGGACACTGTTACCCCACAATGCAATGCACAATGAAAATAGAGGAGCTTGCAGTTGGAAAATGTAACTTTTTTGCTTTTTCTTTAAACCTGCAATGGAAAAAAGTTGTGACATATCGTCACCTTTTAAGTTGATATGGCAAAACCGTTATGAAATAGTTGCTTATATACACACCCAGCTGTTAGGGAACAATATTTATTGAGATTTTTCTCTTTCTACCTGGTAAATACCAGTATTCACTCTCTTTAGCTCTGTCTGTCTCCATCAACGCTCCTCTGTGTATTCAGTAAAGATTATAGCCACTTTCATTTGACTGACTTCCATCGGAACTCATGTATACTTTATAGTTTTTATAGTGGAGAATTGGGACACCGCTTATCTTTTTGACATGAAGCATGGTGTTCTCATCTGCCATCTCCTGTCCCCATGGCAACTATGCAACCAGTAATGTTGGCTCATTTTTTCTCCCCACCTCTTGAGCTGGTAATTCTGAGGGTTTTGGTTAGAGTGAGTTTCAACACAGAACTGGACACCAAAGTGCTGCCCGACACACAAATATATCTGCCGTCCCTCTACACAAACAGATTCACTGTCTGTTTGTTGATTAAAACTAGGAACATATCTGATATCATTATACCGTAATATCCATCCCTTCAATATCTCAGAATTAGACTGTTTGTGGGTAGTGTTGCAAATCACTAAGTAGGAACTGCTGTGTGCTGTTATTGGATTTGTATATGATTTTTGGAACAATGTGATTTTCAGGTATTAAATTAACTGATTACCTGTCCGGTTATTTCATTCGTAAAAGGTTTCTTGATTTTTATTTGATTTGATTTTCCATATTACAATATAAAGTATATCAATATATAAAATTAGATATAGCGCCGCAGAGGATGTTATATGTATTACTGCCTACCCCGAGTTAACAAATAAAGGTGATGTAGAACAAGAGCTACACCATTATTCTGACTTGTTTTCCCCTAGTAAACATTGTTGTTTATCAGATGTTCAGATTAAGATACTTATCAAACCATAATCAGGCATTGAGTAGAGATCTCTCTATTGCATTACTGCATTGCTGCATTACTGAACTGCAGCAGGTCCAGGTCCCCATTTATGAAGCTTTTTCAAAGACTCCTGCAGTGTTTTGCGGCGATGCAGAATTGTGGTTGTAAAGAAAAACCTCCCCGTTATATACGATTCCACCAATTAGATTTTTGAAGTTCATTGTCTTGGGATGATGAAACAAAGCTGGATAAAAATAAGAATTCAGTGTCTCCACTCCTGCCATACACATTCACGTGATTACACCCTCCTTCACCATTACTGTAGCTCCCTGTTCCTGTTTTTTGTCTTTGATTTCGTTTGCCTGCTGCTAATATATTACTAATATTCTAGCATCAAGCCTCAAGCTGAACACATGAATGCTGCAGTTTCTAGCTCTGTTAATAGCAGGTTCTACACAGTGGCTAAAGCATCCGCATTTCCTCATATCTCTTACCCCATGCTGACAGGAGTGCGGCTGCCTAAATGTTGCCAGCAGCAGCAGCATGCATTAGTAAAGAGAGCTGAGTGCACAGAGGCAACACTTAGGAAGCTGTGCCGTATTATTGCTTTATTCCACTGCAGCTCCGTTGTCTTTGTCTGATCGTATTTATTGATTATAATAATGGTGCCAGGCTCAAAAGAGAAAACGATGTTGTCACAATAATAATTTCAAACTTGGAGGCTACGTTGAAGAATATTGACATTAGATCCCATTTTCAGAACCACAGCAAAAAGAGAAATGTGAAGCCTTAAAAACAAACATGACTGGAGTACTTGGGCATTATATTCTTGGATTTAGTCTCTGTGCGTTGTTTGTATTTGTCACTCAAAACCAGCCACAGAGGGCTCGCACTCGCTATGTTAGGCAAACTTACACTGTGACCCCGAAACTATTTTCCAGTGGAACAAATGTGATTCTAAGAAATGACAGTGATGAAACCTGAAAGAAAGACGCTGAGTTGGAGGCAGAGCTGCTCCATGTGGACAGAGATGGCTGCTTTTTGTGTGTGTGTGTGTGTGTGTCAGATTCTGTCAGGGGAAGAAAAATGCAGCATGTCTTCAAGTATAAAGTAGCATAACATGAAAATACCTTTAAGATTGTATTTTCCTGCTATTTAAAGGGTGAATTATTCAGTAAGTTGCGTCGACATGGGCACATCCATAAGCTGTTTACACTGCTTGTTACACAAACAGGGACGTAGAGCGCTCCTTATCCTCAGTTAAATATGCTTTTGCTCGTATGCAGTCAAATGAAGTTGTGGATGGGATCTCTTTGATTTGGGGGTTGTATTTTTTATTTTTGTAAGGTAACAAACGTGGAGCTGCAGGGGGAGAAATATGGTGCTGTGCATAACAAGACACATACAGGTCATGGATGCATTAAGATCAGTACAGTTTCAGTATTTTTACAGTTAGTGGAGCATTCGTACTCGTACGCATTAGTGCAGATGCACCTGGTTTAAATCATGTTATGCCCAAAACACATTTGGACTATTTCAAATAGTCTGCCTATGTGCAATAACAGTTGTTCATGAATAACAAACAAATAACAGCTTGCATGGGTCTCATTATTGTGCTTTTTGTTTTCTTGTTTTACATACATAAAAATACATGACAGTATAGGAAGATATTTCCTTAAATTTGTCTTTTTTGATAAAATGCCGTGAGTTCCCTCTAATGAGCAAACGTCATCTGCATGTTCTGTGTTCTTGTATTAGAGAGTGCTCACCAGCTGTATATCCCCTCATTATAACAGTTTAAATTTTTATTTCTCCATTCAGCCACTTCTGCATTGTTTTAGAACGTAAATTCAAATGAATCAAGTTAATTAATACACGTGGGTTATTAAAGGGTTCCATTTATCATAAGAGCGAAAGCACAGCTGGTTTTCATTGTGCAGCAATTAATTAGTGAAATATTTTGTATTCTTTTGTGTTTGGTAATAAATGTATAGACATCATTATTCCAAACTTCCAAGTGCCTTGTATTTCCTGTGAAGAGTCTGTTTCTAGATCTGAGGAAGTAACATCTGCACCATGATTAATGATTGGGAAAAAATCACTTTGTGGAGCTGTATCAAATCCTAAACCTTCTCCCAGCTGAGAATAACATCAAAGAGTGGAGAGGCTGCCTCTATTTTCTCCACTGTGTTTGTGTCTGTATGTCTGATAAGACTCAATTAAGGTTTTTTTGATGACTTTTGTCTCCTGGAAAAAGGTCCTGGAGACTTCTCCTTATTCTGCTCCTTAACCGTGGTCTCATTTATGATACTGAAACAAATATGATGATACGATGTCTGAGGTTTGCCTCATGAAGACTCAAAATGTTCCACCATTTAATATTTGGAAGCCTGCAAAGTCCCTGCCCTTTTACTTTTCCCTTTGTTTAAAGCTGTGCCAGTTATATTAAGGGAAAAATAAATACATAAATTAAGTTCCCACATTAGCTTAGCCTGTTATTACTCCATCATATTGACACTAACTTGATTCTAATTCACATTTCTCTTAATTTTGTCATATGGTTTGTCATTAAAACAACTGCTGTGTCTCCATATGAACATTCATGAACAAATTCAATATATAATCATCTTTGGTGTATCTTGTTGCCTGTAGTAACTTGTGTACTGTATGTCCTATAGCAGATATTTATGTTGATGTTTCTTCAAAACCTTGAATTCTAACAGACTTCCTTATGAGTCAAATCAAATTCAACCCTGCTCCTCTCTCCCTCAGATCTCTCTGAAGTGCAGAGCTCCAGAGGTTTCCCAGTGTGTGTTCCAGAGCTACGAGGCGATTCTGAAGAACTGAAAAAAAAAAAACGCTACATCGACCCGGCTGCTGCCCTCACAGACTCCTGGCACCTTCTCCTGCTCTCCCTCACCTGACCCTCAAACCATGTTACAACTTCACGCAGGGCAGGAGCTTCTTCCTGCTGTGCTGGGCCTGGAGGCTGCACTCTGTATGTCATTAAGCTGTTTAATTAGGATGGTTAATAATGATTTTTGTTCCATTTTGACCCGATCAGTGATTGCCCCCCCCCCCC